TTTTAATTTTTAACCTTTGGGAACACTTCAACTTCCGTTTTCCCTCCACTTCATCCGTTTCCTCCTTCAGCCTTTTAGTGTTGTCCACTCTGGCATATGTCCTGATATTACTATTTTGTCAAAAACAATTTTCAATATACTTCCAAATAGTTTCCAGAATTTCGCATAAAAATTTTTTGTAATACCATCTGATACAAATGACGTCCATAATTTTCGCGATCTATAGGGATCTTCTCTGACTTGTCGACCCGGGGAAATCCCCCGGTGCACTGGAACTGCAAATTTTTCTACTGATTTTTCAAAAATAAAATATAAAAACACTATGGACCTTTCCCCGACATCAAAACATCCGTATTTTAAACCAATCACAAGCGAGAAGATGTAAACAAACATTCTCCGCTGAAAAGTCGCTCAGACAACTTTGGACCACCTCAATGCTTTGGACGCGTTCCGCACAGGTTGCTGGCGGTTTAGGCAGATATTTGTCCCCTTTTCGCTTTTTTTTCTCCACAGGGCTGCGAGAATTAGAAAGCTGTAATACTGTATGTTACTTGTTGCAAATCACGTTCACGAAATCTATACTATACTAAAAGGCTGTACCCGTTGCAGGCACCTTACAGGTTACGGTACTGGACAGGTCACAACTGCTATTTCGAACCAAAAAATAGTAGACAGTCATGCTGATGCAATCAAGGGCACCGGTAGCCTACCGTATGTCAGTACGGAAGAATTTGTCTTCGATACGATGTTGCATTTTTATCAATCAGAATCTATTAGTGAATTATTTTGGTAGACTAACTATGTGTAAACGCTGTGCATATATGGTAGGTATTTGCCGGTCTGACAACCTGTCCGGGGGTGGAGGCTAACTAGCCATGAGGGCTAACTCGCCATGGACCACTCGCCATGCGACGGCGGTTAACGGGTATGCCTGCAACTGACCTCACAGTATATTCAATCTAGGAAAAATCACCAGAAATACCTTCGTGTGTACCAAGGTAGGCCAACAGAAATAATGTTTTCGATACCAATGATATACCGGTATTCAATATGTTAATTCTTATATGAAATAAATTTTCATACAAGCAATGCGTTCCATCATGCATTTTCATGGAGACGAGGGACCAACTGATGAATACCCTGACCCTATATCAGATTCTTGTCGCCCAACAGAAAAGCACCATCGAATTGTGAGGTAAGGATTACTTATACCATAATCCAACTTTGGATCATAATTTAACAGGATCTGTCACCATTTGATACAGAGACATGTGAATCTGACGAAAGTGAGAAAGGATTGTCAGGGATCCAACCAGATCTGCCCCCAGACTTTTTAGTTGAAACTACCTCAAGTGCCGCTGATGAAAAAGACAGCGCTTTGTCAGACAGCAGAAAGATGCAAGCAAGCATCGTCATCATCATTTTATTTTGGTTCTCTGGCATAAAACAACACAAAAAGTCAACATACAAACAAAATGCAGAGAAAAGTGGAAGTCGAGCATAACTTTAAATAGATTTCAAAAAGTACGCGACTATCTACCAAAAAAAGAAATAACAATAATAAAAGGGCACGAAAGAATTAACAAGATTCAGAATCGGAACTGAAACTGCAAAGTCACACCAAGCTGCTCCTGATACCAGAAGTTGGCCCTGCACTTGGTAGTAACTGTGGTGTGTGATGAATATCCTTATTTTGTTAGGTTGTTTTGCATTTATCACTGTCATATAAATCACAACTTGTTCATAATCACCTGATAACTTTAGAACCGAACCAAAATCAACACAATAAAGGTCAAAGGTCCATACAAACGGTATAATGGCAAATTAATCGCATTTTATAGTTTATATTTGACGGTGTCAATATAAAAATGGGTTAGCAAGGATACCAATTATTTGAAAAATTTGTCTACTTATAATAATCCTCTTGCATATAACTATCCCCGCATGGGATTGAAACCTGTGAAACTACAAGGGTGATCAGAGATGCGGTGACGAGCGTATTCCTAGATAACAAATTCAATTAAATTCTGGTTATTTATTTATTTTTTTTTTTAAAGATTTTTTTTTTTTATCAATAAAAACATCACTTTTTATCCACACGATATAACACATAAACACAATTGCACTTAAAAAAAATGAGTTCATGGTTATTTTTTGCATGACCACTGGTGTTAAACTTTAGTTATCTATTCAACCTTTCACACTTAGGTAACGATCACCTGCTTATTAGGGAAACAATGCTTTATGGCAGTTGATGATTAATTCCTTACACAAGTCAAGTCTGCAAGTAGGCCTACCAATACCAGTAGTTTGTTATCTGCTTTCCATTGAAATGAGGGAGCTTATGAATATTTGAAGAAATTGATAACGGCACATTGTCACTCAGCGTCAACGAAGGGCTGTCAGCAAACAATGAAACACAAGCGAGATGACTTCCGAACTTGACACCAAGCAGTCCTGGCAATAGACAGATAGATGATATCCACATTGCGCGACGTTCCGGATCTTTTGAAAACAGTGGAATATAACTGAAGATCCATTCCGTTGTCTATACCAGTGGTCTTCAAACTTTTCATGGCGCGACCCCATTTCAAAAAATTATGACGTATGATAAGCATGGCGCCCCCAAAGTATATGTATTGAAATGGAAAAAATGAAACCAATAAAAACTGATCACACATTTAACCAATTGCTTCTCTTCGCAGAGCTTTTGAGATTGTGGCATAATGTAGCTTAAGCTTCTTATCGATAGAACTTTTTGATGAACAGCGCATTTCGTTTGGCACTAAACCATGCTTTAAAAAAAGATTGATCACATGACCTATTCTTTTATGTTTATCAGCCATTTGTGAAACTTAGCAAACAATAAAGCAAAAGCAACGGTCATAGTCCATTACAGTAAAAATACAGCAACTGTTTACTTTAAAATTCAAATTATTGTCGTTACACAATAGCCTTATTATAGAGATATTATTCTAATTCAGAATATCGCTAGTCGGCCTAGTGAAGTGTAGACTGCACACTGTTGTGTATCAGCTCATTCGTTTTCACACGAACCCATTTGTGATAACATGTCATAATTACTTTCTCGTAATTACTCATTGTCTGCATGCTTATTATTCGTGTGAAATGTATAGCATTAAAACTGTGTTATACTGACGTTTTACTTATAATAAACTGTATTGTTTTTGTCTACTGGCAATTTGGTAATATTCAAGACATCACACACACAATAAAATAATAACAAAAGAAAACATCGCCGGACACTCTGCGACCCCATAAATATTTAAGGCGACCCCACCTAGGGTCGCGACCCACACTTTGGTGACCACTGTGACCACAATAACCATTTTCAACAGCCAAACAAAACGGAAACGTATAATCCGACTTGCAACTGACAGGAGCCTAATGGACGTTTTTGTTTTTTTGCCGTCCAGAAAACAAAGTCACGTGACCCGTGCAAGTCCTCTATATGGACACATCTGTTCGCAGTACAGTGCGTTTTACCGTACCGTCGATCAGCGTAAGGAAAAAAATCGTAGCAAAGTACCGTAAGGACTTCGTTACGGACCATCGACGTTTGATGGCACGTGATCAAAAAGAAGAGGAGTGTCGGCTATGCGTCCGCAGAACATTCGGTGACGTCATAGCAAACAAAAACAAATCTCACAGAGCTAACAGAAATATTTAAATTAAATAAAAGTAATAGCCTTCTGGAAAAAATTTCATCTTTAACCAGTAAAAATTTCGAAGCAATCGGTCCAGTAATGAAAGAGAAAAGCGGTTTTATAGATTTTTAGACATCCACTAGATGTCCAAAAAGTGTCAAAGAACAACAACAACAACAACAAGACCAACATAATATTGAAACGATCGTTATGTCCACTACGTGTCCAATAAGCTTAAGGGTTGATGGAAAGGAGCAAAAATGTTTATTGGCATGGCTATGGCGTTTGCAACGGTATTCTAACGGTTAACCGGATAATGAATTAACATTCATATGCTCATTAGTGGTTTTGATATTTTTCATCAAATGGCGGCTGATCTCCCCTGAGACTATCAAATCACGAAATATGCAACAAAAATGTGATCAATATGTAATAAAAGAGCGCAAATTCGCTATATACGGTTAAGTTGTATAAGTTTATTTTGATTCTATAATCAGCATAACAATAAAATGATTGATAAAAATGAACAAATAGAAACTTATTATAAAATCAGGAGAGCAAACGAAACAGATAAGGTTTAAAACGTACAGATTATAAGATGGAAGGTCTGCCAAGAAGAAGTGGTACGTGTTTCACTTACCTGAAATTATTAAATTATTTCACACACGCACCCACCACACACACGATTCGACACCACGCAGGCTATTTACGTTTACATAGATAGGTAGATAAGCAGGGGTAGGGTAGGTACATGCGGTGCAGTGGCGTGTCTATATGGGGCAAAGGGGCAGGCAACACGTAATAGAGGAGAGTTTGTGGATTTGTGGAATAAAATAATGAATAATATTTTTACAAACATTTTACTCTTACTTGACCTCCAATTTATTTGTTTCCAGGTATAGCAACTTCTGTGATTTGTTTATCCCCCAAATTATTTTTGAAGTTAGGTATAAGGGGCAGCATTATCAGAAACCCGACCAGGGCAGCAGAAAAGTTTGACACGCCACTGATGTGGTGGCGAGCGTAAGGTAACATAGTTGCGGGGGAGAACGTATTCCTAACGCTTGGCACGATGAGCCACATCATCGAGAAAAATTCGGAACAGGGCCCTCGGCGTTGGGGTCACACCTTGAGACTATTGCAGGATCCAGGGCTCACTTAAACGTTCAAACATCTGCAGGAGCAGACAGCTACTCAATTGGAACAATGCCTTACCGAAATACCACAACAATGGGACATGAAACAGGAGTGGCATCGTTATATAAGAAGGAAGAATCATACGTATTGCCATGCCTAACTAATGCCTGGACTAATCCCTATGATTCATTCGAGTTTATGCAATCGTAACATATTTTATTAGCAATAAAAATGCTTGTATAACATGCAAATGACCAGATACATAAATCAGTGAAAATTCCGAACAGCAGGAACATTAATGCAAGAAGAGAAAAACGGACTCAACAGATCCTGACCTCCAGCTATTAAAACAACAAATATCACACGAGCAATAGAAATACCAATCAGACAGTTTAAAGTTAGTTTTAGTGAAACATTTGCTCAACTTGAAATAAATTCTCACATTAGCCAGAGTTGGAAGGGCCAAAATGATCAAACTCAAATTAACTTTGAAGAGATGTTTTGTCATTATGTGCTTGCGCAAAAAGCTTGATGTGACTAAGGAAATGAATATGAGCAGAAAGTATGACTTGAATCTTTTCATGGTCAGGGTAGATGATTCTGAAAATACTTAAAAGTACCGTACCAATACGAAATTTCAATTGGCTCGATTGAATATTAACATCATATCCTTTTTGAAACGAAAACAATCATTCTTCTAATAATTAGAAGCCTATTTTTCTTAAATTGCACATTTTTGTTAATCAATAAATAGGCACAGATAAAAATATAGGGTTATTGATAATAATGATAATATGAAATGATAACAGTGAAGCAATGTCGGCAAAATATAATAACGTGATAAAGATAGAAGCGAGTTTATGAAAAATAAATTATGCAAGCATGCTTTTAACTTTTTAAATGCAAAATACAAGAAGGCAATAGGGCTGAAGAAAGCGTGTAAAATAAAAACAAGAAAAAATAAATTGTAAGGATTTAAAATTTTAGTTACTCTTTATGAGCAGTGCAGAAGTCATATTGATAAATAGTGTGCCCACAGAGCTAAATTTTTTATTAACTGAAATTTTGCTTCATCTTTCACTGTTTCTATGTCATTCCAGAATGTTCAAAATACCGGTAATGAATTCAATTTCATTCAAATGCAACAACTTTAGAAATCTTTGTAAAATTTATTTATTCTTGAAAAAAATTGTATAAAGTCCTGTCATTGAATTATAAAAAACTAAATATGAAAATTCACAGACCTGCGGTACCACCTATCAGAAACAGACAGATAAAATAATATTTAAAAATAGTTTGCAGCATAAAATGAATTATGACAAAAAAATTCACTCAATATGTAGAGCTAAATATACTTTTACAGTAATATCCTAAAGCAATATAACAATATCAACATTTTTAAAAATAATATGCATTATTCTTTTGTAATATGCACTGGGTTTGTAAAATTCATCCACTTAGCTTTGTACAAAGGCTTAATAATAGCTCATTTGAAGTTTTCGGTGTGAATTTTCCAAACCTTTGCAGGTCACACTTAATATACGAATGATAAGTCAAATACAGAATCACGGTGAACAGCGTCTATAATATCACTATTGAAAAATAAAAGATTAGAAATGATTGTTTTATTTTAGTGAAGAATGATTAAGAACAATAAGAAGAAGCTTAATAAAAAATTAAAATTGATATTAAAACATATAGTTATTTACGATTCTTCAGGTGGGCTGATTGCTTGCATGTAACTATACCTCTCAATTCCCTTTTTCTCTCTTCTGCCTTTAACTCGAGAAAGAGTCATGTTTTGAATTGGTTGATGAACACTAGTCTGTAAGTGCATGGTTTCATTAAAAGACCAAGTGGTGATACTCATGCTAGACTCAGCTTGTGTTTTTAAATATTGAGAAACTGAGTCCGATTTTGCAACATCCATTTCCGCCACACGCATCTCAAATCTTTCTACTGGGAATGTCTGCTTTGTCTTATCTGATATTACAGAAGAATCGGTTTGTTTTAACGACTTCAATAGTGGAGTTTGACCATGTTTCCATAAGTGATCTCGACTTGCTGAACCGTCTTCAAGTCCGTTGCAAGAAACAATTGGTAATTCGCCTTCCTTCGGAGCGGAAACGACGGTCTTCGTTTGTGACGCTGACACATGATTAGAATTGTTGATATTGTGATCTGCCTTACCATTAAGTGATGATTCGTATATTTCTCGTTTCTGTCTTCTTCGCAATGATCCTAAGTTGTTGTTATTAGTTCCGAAAGGCCCATTACTGGGACTTTCTAAAATGGGAGAAAGATTTGGAAGTGACGAAGTTGGGGTTAATGTAAGGGTTCGATGTTGAGGAGAAACAAGATGAGCAGGAGATAAAAATACGCTGTCTGAATGTTTGACAGAATTTCCATTACTCGCTTCAGTGAATGTAAAAGTTTCTGGAGAGTTCAAAGGTGAAGGTGAAGCCAGCGGTGGTTCGCTTGGAGTCACTGAAACCATGCTTCCATTGTGGGAGCCTTCTAGGTTTGAGTCATCATTGTTGATGGAATTGGCTTTTAGATGAATTTGTAGAATTTTTATGTAATGCTGGTATTTGTTGATCTGAAAAAAGACAACAAGAATGAGTTTTTAGTAAACTTAATTAAGGTGAAAGGCCAATTATTCAGTCAGGATGCAATCTTATAATAACAATCAAAAATGAATAAGGCAACAATGCTGCGCCAATCTTTAGCTGCATTGACACAGAAAGATTTTAGAAATACATGAGCTCTGTCCATAAGGTTAGTTTATTAAGGAAGGCTTGCATATTGTCAAAATTTGGTACTGTCAGAGATAAAAGATCAAGTCAAATTTGAAAGTCAGGAGATCGTGAATTATCTACATATCCACCGCCCCTGTTGGATGCAGTATACCAAAATTTTAGCATAAGTTTCTATTCAACCTTGGTGATATAAACAAAAATTTATGTTAAGATTTTACAATAATTGTCTGGAGATATATTACAATTTAAGTTTTTTTGAATTTAAACAAATCTTACCTCAGATTGCAGGTGAGAAATTTTATCATCGTAATACTGTGTTCTCTGATCTGAAATAGATTTTTCAGTTTTCAAAGTTTCTTGCGTTCTTTCAAGATCGATTTCATGCTCTTTCAACAATTCCTGAATTTTCTTTAGTTGATTTTCCTAAAATGCAAAAAACAAATTCTTTAACAAAAGCATAAAATTTTAGAAGTTAATTTCATCATCCATTCTGTATTAACTGTTGCTTATTAATAATTCTAAGAATGAAATATTAATATGCCCATTCAAACTGTATTTGTGGTAAATTCTGTAAAAGTATAAAAACACACCATCAGCAGATGCTTGTTTAAATAAACCTTGTTTAAAATTTGTTCTATCAATTGACATAAGTCTTTCGTGCATAAACAAATTGGGGAAGCAACAAAAATCCCAATCTGAAATAGAAACCAATGTCAAAGCAGACTATATTCAGCGAGACGAATATTACTTAAAAAAAGAGACAAGTATGCACTAGCAAATAACGAGTCATAAATACTGTACAACTCTGGCAATAAATTAATATTGTTTTTGATTCAAAAAGATGTCACTCAAAATATAATTGGGACAACTTCGGCCCGAATGAATAAGGCACAAAAATAACTTACTGGTGGTAATGTGGAAGGAGCTGAAGGCAGTAGAGCTTTCCGAAAAACCATTTGAGAACCTATGGGTGAACATAGTGGGGCAGCAGAAAGCAAAGCTGCAGCCTTGTTGATATCTCGAATCCACTTTTTCGATTCTTTCTCCGAACTGTTAAAATACAAAATAATGGAATTTTTAATCAATAAACTGGCCAAAACTTGAAGATTAACAGTAAAATTAAGAATGCCAGAAAAATGCTTTTAAAACATATTCCTGTATTAGCTGTATATCATATATTCAATTGAGATAATATGTACTGTATGTGACACCATCACAGGCAGAGGCTCGCTGCGTTAGTTTGGATTCAAAATTGAAGTAAAATTACTACTGTTTTGCTGAAGATGATGACTCACAGAACAAATTGCATCTAAACACGTGGGAAGCAATACAGAGTTGAAAAGAATACAAAACAAATGACATAAAACTTTGAGTCACAGAAACATTTTATTGATATTAGCAATAGCATCATATGTGCCATTTTTTAACCTCGTTTCAACTTATTAACATGGCCTTCACATCTCTGAGTATAGATTCTTATTCTTGTGAAAATATATCAAGCATTACTTATTGCTGGGAATGTAGAAAACGAATCGATTAGTCAATATTTTTAAATTCTTGATTCAAGGAACAACTCAAAATGTAAAAAGAATCATTTTGAGTTACTGACGCCCCACAATAATATGACAAAAAAGCGACAAAAAAGCTTCATGTATAAAATGATATCTACATGTCCTCTGTGCTTAACATGACCCAATATATATATTCTATGTTTCAGATTGTATTTGAAATAACATATTATTCAGTCTTTCTTGACCATCCATCCCTGACTATTGGGCCTATGAACGAGTTTGAAGATTTTTACACTTGTTTAGGCATACTTCAGATCAGGTCAACATTTTTTGTCGTTGAGCCATATTTATAACCAACTTCAGACATCTAGCCGGGCCACACAAAAAATTTAGTTTATCCATGAGGGGAATGAAAGAGAATGTGGCTATTGCTTAGCCCTGCAGTAATAAAGACACTGGGAAAGATTTAATGCAGCGACAAGAGCAAAAAAACATTATGTATTTTACCCATTCGAGCGACTTCTTAACTTTCGGATTAGGATTTTATGCTTGATGATGACAAATCTGAGTGTGGAAACGAGCCATACTAAATGGCTTGGTGGACCGGGTTGAAGCCGGAAAATCTCACCTGGCTTGGTATAAGGTAATACTGGAGTCAGCAAGAGTTAATTTGAACACATGTTCCCTCTTGCTATCGTTTGTTGATTCTTCTGCAAGACAATGATGAAGACTTGTGATCCTGACTTCGGTTGAGCCTTTCTGTAAACAAAGTTGCAAAACATGGTATATTCCAATACTAATTTATTATTATTATGAATTGATTGTAATAACAATGTATGTTCGAAAATAGCAGTAGTACTAAAACTTTCATGATCTGCGAAACCTCTTCCAAAGAAGACTCACACCTGCAGCCCCGTTAAAATACCTAGTTTGTTTTTGTAGGGGTTTTCGTCAGTTAATATGTGCTATGTTTGAAACGAAAAAAAAAAAATAAGTATGATTTGGTTGAACATTTGGAGATTTCCCTGATTGGGTTCTATTGCGCAAATTAGAATCACATATCAGAAGCAAACTTATATTATTTGTATTGTATGTATTACTAGTTCGAGCAACTCAATACTGTAAATATTTAACTAAGCACTATAAAAAGATTTCATGAGGTATCATTAATTCAGTCATTAAGCATAATGAATTCTTTAGTTTAGTGAGTTTTAAAAAAACTGGTATTACAAATTGATTTGTAACTGCAAAAGTAAGATATATGACATGTTATACTTCAAATATGAATACCTATAACATTAATTAAATTAATAGAATTTTTAAACTATTATATTTCTTTAATTTTTTTTATTTGATTCCACAGTAAATGTCATGCTTTCGATTGAATATTTAAAATAAGGATGCAAATTATGGAATTGCATTAATTACAAAATTCGTCAAAAGAGTGAAAACACACTTTGCATATTCCCAATCAAGCATTTTAAATATTATTTATGCAAGAATATAAAATTTTTAGTAAAATTTCCAAAAGATTATCAAAATAATGAACATCACACATTCAATAACACTGATTTTCTGGTTATGGTAGTGTTGCAATGTGTAATTTAAAGCCATAATAAAAACAGATGATTTATTACAATTATTGTCATTGCAAATAGACAAGACTATACAAATCGGTGGCAATTCAGATAACTAATAGCAGTAATACAAGTTCAAAAAAACAGAAGTACGAACTGCATAGTAGACAATTACATCATCTCTAACTATAAATTTACAATGGTGGAATCTCAGGTGACAGACAGACGGTGACACTGTATTTATAAAGATCGGCAAACAGACAAATTGACATTACATTGAATACATATAACTTCATATTGTAACTCTGGCGCTCCAGAAGTGTGTGTACCAATATGGAGATAACTAATTTTGTTTGCCTACTTTACATCAATTTGTGTAAAAGGACGGAAGCCTATGGGCAGGGGAGCACTGAAACAAGGAAAATCGGAACAAAATTTTAGACTAACCCTAATCTGGTACATATACTACAAGAGTACCATAACTCTTAGCTCAAACTGTTCGTAGAAAAAGTTCCAGAAATAAGACCTTTTTAATGTCATGATTCTTTTCAGAAGGTTGGTAGACCATGGTACTTGTATTTCAAAGGAGCTGTGACTAATCTATCGAACTGTGGGAATCTAATTTCACTATTATTATAGGAAACACCAATGATGTAACTGTAATGTGTATCGATAAGTAAATAAATAGTTAAACAATAACAATGACCAGCATGGTTTCTGTTTTGAATGAAAACAAGAGCTATCTAGTTAGTAAAGAATAAATTATCCCACTCTTATACAGAAGCTAAATCTCCAATTCCAATCCAATTTATGTTGCTAATTATGTTTAACTGGTTAGATAGATCACATCTGACTTTATTCAGGGAAACTTTGAAAATTAGACTTATGGCATGACATGCTTAAGACAAGCTGTTTCACATGAACTTTTGTGAATTATGATAATGTATAAATTAAAGATTGAAACATTGTTCCCACTTCTATTTAAATATTCGTAAATCGATACCATGATGAAATACGTTCGTATTTCTCATAATTAAGCTTTAGGAGGAAATAATCTCAAATTTTTCATATTTATTCATTCATACAGTGTTGGAATTCTGGAAATATAATAGTCAAATAAAATGAATTGACAGTTGAAATAGATACTACCTTACTAATATTCAGACAGCAACAATATGTCATTGCAATGAGGTATGAGTCTGACCATATGATATTCAAAAAATGCACAATTTCAAGTTATCATGCGCGTAGGACTTTCTACTGACCTTTATAATATGAAGCTCCAGATTATGCAAAGTAACTGAATATATTTTCCACCCACGTTTGCCAATAGAAACTGAAATGTAAAATATACGACTCAGACAACATTATATAATGATAGGGTATAAGTAATGTTTTCACCATGGTTAACACATACAGTGGAAAAGCAAAATGGCATGACACTTCAAAGGTTCTTATCGATCACAGATTGAATATATTGCACAACAGAAATATTGTTATCAGCTGAAAAAGTTTATTTTTTCAATGAGTGGTGTAATCGTAGCAACTAATTTAGAAATCCCGTTCAGGGCACTGAATGTATATAGTTGAGCCCCCCCCCCCCCATATTTTGAAAATTCTGGATTCGTCACTGTGTGTGGATGTTCAGAAGAACCAGCTTAATAAAACTGAACTTGAATTCCTAACTAATAAAACAAAAATTTTAATTATCGGATAACAATTCGCAACATGGAATAATCATCTTTTAAATTAAATTTGCCATTTTTTTTTTAGTGAAAAATGACTAAAAAGCAAATATTTACATATTCAAATTTTGCTGAATAACAATCTTTTTGGTTGGCATGTTTCAAATCGGAATTTATCAGAAAGCAAAACTGGGCATGATTAAAACAGCGAAAATTAATGTTGAGAGCGGAAAAACAATATCAAAAAAGTCAGTCATGTTATGTTCATTACATGTACAAAAACAAGTTCATGAATTGCATTGATCAAATGTGTATATATTATAGAACTTATTTTGTCATAATTCAATGCTAAAAAGTATAATTTTTCAATGTTTATTGATTTACATCATAGGAATTAAATGAGTGTACGGTAAATTTAGGAAGTTTGGGAACCTCTGTGTCAATTAAACAAATTTGTTTCATTTTATGCTCACAGCTTTACAAACGAAAAGAATAAAATGAAACTCAAAATCAGTTCCAAATATGTTCAACTGTGAGCAGACAATTCCCAGACGAATTTGGTAAAGTGGAAATGGAAACAAAGTAGCAATCCTTGTTCCCACGAGACTAATTTTTTGTTTTATTCCTCGTAGTAAGGTGTAATGTTACTCGAGCGTGGTATTGGGCAAGCATGCGGTGATGTGGCAACACATGCCACTTGAATTTTTAATGATGCGTTGCTCTGTATTCCATCTGCTTTCTGCATTTCAATCCCATTACGTTATTTTCAATTGTGATTATAATTTCATGCAATATACATTTAAATTAATTGCAGTTGCTTTAAATATACTCACTATTCGGAATGACTAAATTCGAAAAAAATTGAAAGATATTGATTAGATGTTTGGAGAATTTTTTATTTCATTTTTAACAAAATTTTCTCCAAGAAAGGTTAATAAGGGAAATAGACTTTTCTCTGAGCGAATTCGTGAGCGAAGTTTTGAGCCAAATGTCAATAGCTATTGAAATTGACTTAGATGAATTTGAAAATCATTGTTGTTCGTGAAAGTTGATTAAGAAATCAGAGAATTGGAAATACTGCATTATAATCAAATTTGTCATTCACACATTAAAATCAAGTTATTTCACTAAGGCATCTCAGAATCAGTTGACTATTACTGCTTCCTGGTCCGTAAAAAATTCAACGTAACTGCATTTTTGAAAATCGTGATTAAGTTTTAATAACAAGAAATGATAATTAAGGATACTAAATTAATTTAATCATCACTAACTCATTTAATTTGTGGAAAAACCATCTGAAACTAAAATTGGATTACTGGATCAATTCTTGACAAACTTATACTGACAAACTTATACATGAGATAGGAAATTACCTCTCTTTCCATCGGAGTCGAGTAATATTTTTCTCCATAGAAGACCTTGGTTCTGAGACAGTGGTTTTAATTTTGCTGATCTGCCGAGACCTGCTCTAGCTGAATCAACTGACGTTCCTTTGAATTTCATCGGAGATCGCGTTGATAAAGATCTATGATGGGGAATCAAAAGATTGATAATAAATAATAAAGAAATTTGATTTTTGTATGTGTGTAAACTGAACCTTAAATCAAAACCAAATATCGGATAATGCATTGTCACGGTTTCATAAACGATCAAGATTTAGAAATTGAGGTCCTTTAGCTTTTCTCACATGCACACCTGCACACATGCACACACTCAGCACAATGCTATGCACTAGAGAGATTCAGCATTGAGGTAGTGATAATGAAGTAAACATTCAAAGAATTGAGTTCAATTGGAATCGGAAAACAATATTAAATTTGGCAAATTCAAAAAAGTAGTTGAAATATACAATTATAACTTCAGAGATGATCAATAAATTGAAATAGTTCGCTACTAGTGCTTTATCCTAATGAGAAACAACAAGCCGAAAAACACTAATCATTCTTATTGTCTCAAGAGGGCTACTTTCGTATATAATCAATTTCTAATCATCTTGTATTGACTTGTCATATCTAGCCTATCTTTATACAGCACTTATTCACACCTTTTGCTCAGAACAAGGCACTGAACATTCATCCACTGATATGTAAGAAGCCACAATTTTTGGAAAGACATATTTTTTCAGTTTGTCATTGCCTGCACAATTTATTGCACACCTTTCAAGGGAATTGAACGCGAGCTAAGTAAAATATGAAGCTGACACAGATGAGTCTCACGCATTAACCACTGAGCCGCAAATCCTGATTTATTCTAAAATCAAACTCCAAATAAAAATCTCAATCACTTTCCCATTTTACTATCTACCAGAATTGAAACAAACCTATATTTTCAATAAGTTTTCGCAGGTTTACTAAAAGCAAGGTTTTGAATAAAAAACGACTCAATATTAAAAAGGACTGAGATGCTGGCTTGTAGAAAAATTATAGGGCGATTCAAAAAACAGAACCCACGAGTTTCTCAATTACGGCACTCCCATAAAAATGAAAATTATTTATTTACCACTTGAACTTCTGTTTGTGTATGATCGTACCCAAAAATTTCAGTAATCTAGGACGTTCTGCACAAAAGTTATGTTCACTATAAAATAATATGTTCTAGATGACCAGGGTTCCGTTTTGTGCCCTCGAAATGAACAGTTTTGACGAAAGAATAGAAAAACTATTAATACTTAAAATCTGACCTGTTGACTATCTTAGTTGGTGATCTAACAGTAGGTTGAGTGTTTTGTCTCATGCTCGATGCTCTTGAAACTTTTTTCTGCCTGAAAACAAAAAGTTTCTATAAAATAATGAAATTTTGCAATCTTGCTTTGCTAAAAATTATGTCGTTCAAAATTATACATAAAAAAGGCGAAAACATAAATAATCATTTACAGACAGGTAAAATATGAAGACAAAAAGCTTAACATATAGCCTAGGCTATGACCTTACACTTATTATATTTTAAAATTCAAATACTTGGTACATATATATATATATATATAAAAGAGCCATTTAGAACTGCATCTGCAAAATAAATCTATATTTAAATTAGATTATTTATTGACAAGTTGTAAAAATGTTATTGTCTATTCATGTGAGAATATTGACACCTCAGAGAAATAAATTGCAATGGATATTGGGAAAAAAATCAATCTTTATTATGACTATCTTATAGAATTAAACCCCTTCAACCTCATTATGGCAGTCCACGTCAATTGTTCTCATTTTACAATAGTGGTTACACCTGTTCTACCACAGTTGAATAGTAATAAATAGGAACAAAATGAAGAACAAAAATAGCCAATTTTTTCAATACCATTCAGCTGTGATATAAACTGAAAAACTGGGATTAATATAAAATGAGAAAAATATCTAAGAAATAAGGAACTGCAGGTTGTTCCTCAATACGATTCACTTCCATATATAGGAAAGTTTCGTAATTTTTCGTGTCTCAAATTCTTGGGCATCGAGGCAGATAAAAAAAATTTGCATGTATTAAAGATACTTGAAACCTTGGCAAGGCTTTCGTTATATTGTGTGTGTCTTTCCACATGAACAATTTTTGAGGAAAAGCCTGGTACAAATTTTAGATTCAATATTAAATGGTTGAACTCAAATTAAATGTTGTCATTTATTTCATATCGAGCATTTTAAATATCTTTATAGAAAAATCGGGAAATAGGCCAAATATTACAACTCCATTGTAGAATAAAAAACTTATGCTGTTGATTGGTATCTGTGGGATTAACTACTTATTTTTCTTCTATGGTTTTTCTCAGTGGAACCGTAGCATAATTATTCTGAGGGATTCAAGATTTTTAAATCACTAAAAATAAAATTGATTGTGGGAATTCATTATTATTGCATCCCAATATAGATGTTACGATACCATTTAATTAAGTCATCAATCAAATAGTGATTCGATACCGGTAATTTGCTTTAACCTAACACACAACCCTTATTCTTCAAATTAATTCATAAAAAAGCGATTCTCAATACGAGTGAACTTGTTAAAGAACAATGAATAAGCCAGCTATAGAATTTTGTATTCATTCATGGGTAGACACACACAAGCACATGACAGTTAAACAAAAGATGACTCACTCTTTGCCGCCCCACGGAAGCGGGTGTTTTTTGATTGAACTGTAGAGAGAGATTAGTAGGTCGTTTGGATAATCGTTTTTATCGGCCATTAATCCGGACAGATTTACCGCAAATTGTTTGTATGTCATTTTCTTTCTACCACTGCTCAAACCAATATTTCCATGTAAATCCGTGTTAAGAAGAGTGAGAGCACAAATGAGAGTGTGAACAGAATCTAAAGCGAAAGAGAAATATTTCAATAAAATTAAAAATGAATCAGTAACACAAGTAAAATACACCTTGATTATTGAAGGAAATTGTTTATTAGTATGAGCAATTACATTCTAGTTGTTTGATTAGCACAAATCCAGATGTACATCGATGTTCAAAACAAATTAAATGGCCTATTTAAAATGATTTTGAAAAATTAGGAATTTTTTTGATTATTTGTTCTAGGAATAACTTAGAATAGCCTAGTTTAATTAAAAAAATTATCATTGCAAGCAATTGAAGTCTTCAAGATATCATATGAAAAAAAAAAATATTGAACAATAGAGAAAACAATTTTTTTTAATTTTCAAAAGTAATTAAGATGATTTATTTCTATCCAAACGCCCATAACATTGAAATTAAAATGTTTTTGGGGATACAAAAATTGCAATATAAAAATCTCCATTTTTATTTTATTTAAAGATTAGGTAGTAACATAAAAAAATTGCAATATAAAAATCTCCCTTTTTATTTTATATATAAAGATTAAGTAGTAACAAAGGTTACATTTGATGCTGCATTATAGGGATTCGATGATATAATGAAAATCCTTTGACGTAGATATTAGAAAAATGATTTTATCCATAGAGGAAACAAACTATGCATTCATGCAGTTGATCGCATTAATATGAACTTTTTTGACCCACGACGGATGATTAGTCATGACGCTTATCAGTCAGCATGACCAATATCAAATAAAATGACGGTTAAAATTTTGAATTTAAAAAATTCTTTATTACGGTAATTAATATATTATTTAAAAAAGTCTGAAATTAGTGTTATGAACGATTATTAGGTGAATGCAAACAAAAAAATGACCATAATAAATGTATACGGATTGGACAATTTCTAAAAAAAGGCATCTTGGATGGAAATTGAGAGTCTCTCTATCATCATAGAAACTCCTTCTAGAATCAACTGAATTATTCAAGTTTAATCTAAAGGGGATTATTTTCTTTAACAAGTGAGATAAAACATGAAAAGGTGGATAAAAATCATATGAATTGAACTAATAGTATTGACGAAAGTGACGTGCGTTACTGTTAAAATAGAGATTGCCAACTAATTCAATAAAATACTGTCTGATTTGGCGGGGTAGCCTATTCCGCATGTACCACTACCAGATAAGTTGAAAATAGTTTCAGAAACATTTAAAATAAAAATTGAAAGTGTTTTGAAAACTAACATGATTTATTGAGTATGTTACTTTTAATAAACTAATTTGAATTTATTCAAACGACTGTTATTAAATCAAGATCTTCCTATTATTATACTCGGCATGGGAAAAGTAGTTATTACAAGTTTCTGCCTTGCTCAGTAATAGAAACCAGAAAAGATCCACCTACAACTATAGTCATCGTGACGAAACCAGCCATGTTCGAGCCGAGCTAAAAGTTACAGTAATAATCTATTTTTAGGTTGAGGAATGACTATAAATCAGAGAGAATTAGAAATAGTCACTGTACATATTGAAAATATCTGACTGCGACACATTGAAGAATCTATTGAATGTTTAGTGTTGGGTTACATGTTAATCCTCATAATCTCCAAAACGAATCATATTTTCAAATTCATTCAAAATTTATTCTATTCGATATAGTGAATTTCTAAATTTAGGAATAATTTAGAAGATACTTATTTAAAAATTAGGGATTTTAAGTCGTCAGACAATCAGATTAAAACGTATGATATCTCAACTGGTAACAAAAAACACAGGAAAAACATTGTCCTTTTAGATATGATTAACATAATTTTTATGTAATTCTCCACACCAATTTAGAATGTATTTGATATTCCATATACAAAAATATTTCCTCAGAATACATTCGAAATTGTGAAATATTTGGCTTGGCAATGATTTCAAATAATATTAGCAATTTCTATTTATTAGAATCACACATTAATTAAAACAGCCAATTTTTACCACTGTAAAATGGGATTTGATGTAGGCACATTTTTATGAGATACTTTTAGAGATAACACAAACACTTTTTGAATGCTTGGTGTTCCCAAACTCTTCAATATTAAATTACTAATATTTAGAATTTGTTATAACAAAACCAGACAATAAGCAACAATACCATCACTTATTAAATGAACTTGAAAGATGAATTGAAAAAAAAAAATCAAATACCGGTAAGAGTGATTCAGACTAGACAGTATATTGTTAGGCAATAGCACTTGTGATCTTGACTTTACGACTTGAGTCAACTATCACCATTGTTTGTGAGTTATTCATAGACAAATATTACCTTACTAGCCTATTAGGAGAATATTATCACTTCAATAAATCAATCCAATTTACTTTAATTTGCATTTCAATCTACGGTAGGACTCTAGCAAAAAATAGCATAAGTTATTTCTCCAATTTACCATTTTCATTTTTATTGAAACCGAAATAATTTTTAATTTTTAAAAATGCTGATCAAATTATCATTTTTCACTGGAAAATTTTCACTTTCACAGCAGAATCGAGGCATATTTCATATTTGACCGTGTGAACCAAGGTCTCCAATTACAACATATATTGAAATAGTTGCGTTAGATAAATTTACAATAATGCCACAAAAATCCGGTGATAAACGATAAAACGGTCTTATGTGGTTTCAATTACCAGCGGAAAACGAACAAACAATTCGTCGGGAAGAATACACATTACACACCTGTCATTATATTCGAATTTCATAAATGATCAACCAATGTCAAATGGGTTGTTATTCCCGATGTTAAAACACACTGTCACAAATTAACAATATTGTACCATTTCTTTCATATGAGATATATCAATAACATTAATATTACTATACACCAGGAGACATTTCCATAGTCAGAATATTTTGATCCGTGAAACTGTGTACTTGTATATTAACTTGTATTTAATTCATGAATCTTTTGGCATCATTTGCTTTCATTTGTAAAACTGAACAATAAGGGTAGTCAGGATATAGATGTCCTTAGCCAAAGGCCTATTTCATATGATATGCACAAATGTAGGCTATAATATGTACATGTTGAGATATTTTGTGAAATATGGCAAAGTTTATTTGTTTTTCAAATTGATCATAGAAACAGTTGTAAAAGAAACAATAGTTAAAAACAACTCTCCAAAGAAATTAAAACAACTTTCTATCCAAATACTGAAGCTTAAGCGTGAATTTTAGCACCAGTGCGTAAATGTGGTTGCGTCAATATTTACATTTCATTAGCTGGACAAAAGACAAAAGTATGATTACAGGTAATTGATTTATCAATCAATAATAATAACTAACTTATTTGGATCAATGACCAGTCAATTCTAATGAAGAATGCTTTTAAAAGTGGAAAAAAAGATCTTTTTGAAAACTTTAGTTATAGATAAAAATGTTTTTTCTATTGGTGATAAAAATTAATCTGTAGCAGTCATGACTCACGAGTATAAAAAAGAATCCACAATTTTGAAAAACGCTTGGAAGTATTAAAGACGAATGTAATGGAGATTACTATAAGTCTTCGTATCACACTTTACTCAATATTTGAAACATGTCAAAATATTAGAATGTGTATAACTCCAATACAAAGTGCCATTTATTGTTATTGTTATACATATTACAACTGGTACAGAAATATGCTCCAAACTGTGAATTAAATTTAAAAAAAATCCGGTACTACAAGTCTTATTACCTCATTGAAAAAAATGATGTGGTACGTTCAAAGGAACTCACAGCACTACCAGTCACCACCATACCTAAAAAATTCTCGTGAAATCTCGGCCGTCATTCTAAACCAAGTATTTGATATCAAGGAAGCAATAAGAACTCAATTGTTTATATTTCTGTAATTAATAGTTGATACTTTATGTTCAATTGCTTACAATTTAAAATTTGTGCAGTGCAAGCACGAAAATGACCTTTAAAATATCCGGTGCCGAAATACTGTTCCGTTTTAACCAAAATACGAATTACATAAATTTATCGATTGATTGCTGCAATGCAGTTTCTAATTATACTGAACAATTTTGATCTATTTATATCCTATTTCATTAATCAATAAGTTAGGACATGTTTTCAGAAAATGATGACTTCAGTACAACCATTATCAAACTCAGATATAGTATTATCAATACAGCCCACATTCATTAATATCCAGAATGTTGGTATAATTCCATTATCGTTTTCTTTGTGGACCAAGGATTCTCAAACCAGAAATTTAAATTGAATGAAAGTGAAATTTTCTTTTCAATACATTGTATAACAGAAAATAAAGTTTGAAAATATAGGTTACAGACTTTTCCTAACCCAAAATTATGGGTATTCTGGAATCAGAAAAAAATGAATAACAATGAACTCAATGAAATTTAAAAAAATGTATCAAAAAAGCATGTAATGAATTAGGACGTTCTAAATAGAAATAGCCGGTGAAAGAGTATACTGTTCCTGATACATGAATATTGTATTAAACCAGGCAAATTCAATCTGAACTGCCTGTATTTTCCAATACTCAACAAGGCTACAATTTCATTTGGTAAATTTTGTGAGCTTGATATTAGGTATAAAAACTTTGATAAAAATAAATTATATAACAGAATTACGATATCTTTAAGCCTTATATCGGTACAAAGTATTAGAACAACTTCAAATTATTAACGAATTTTTTCATGAGATGATCACAAAGTCTTATATAGCAGTTCTCATGTAAACGAAGAATTATTAAAAAAAATTACAATAATTATGATTCGATATTAATACCGATAATTGTTTCTTTCTAATATTTAATAGATCGAAACTATGGTAAAATTATATATTTTACCCTGGAGGCAAAAAGCGTGAATAGCCCAATTTTTGACTGATATGAATCAATTAACAGTTGTACTGGAATACCCAGACGTATCAATCACGAGCAATAACCCAGACTAATTTTTTAATCAGTCATAACATGGGATAATCTTATAAGTCAATTACTAATTACCACTGAGGAACCATACTATTTACAAACAATACAGTAAAATTAACTATATTTCATAGTAATTAATGAAGCATTCATCTGTGTGTTAAAGTTGAAGCGGCTTGTATTAATTTGTAGCATCTAATATTTGTGAAAAAGAAAAATTCAAATCAAAACAGATAACTCCCGCAAAAGATTGGAATATTAATCCTTTTAATAACTATTTAAATTCACTCCTCATGTTATATAATATATGAATATTTAAGAATTAGATAGAAACATAATGTTTAGTGTCAATTATTAGGTGGTTAGAAATTGAATAATGAATCTAATTATGCTTCATTGTAAAAAGAATGAAGATCAAGACAAGTAATTGAATATTTAAACGTGAAGAGCTGTGAGTAAATTTTTATAGCAAATTGGACACAAAAATTACTATTTCACTAAATTATCCATGAATATCATTTATATATTATCTCTGTTTCTGTTGATAAAAGACCTGATAAAAATATCTGACATAAAATGTGCCTTACGAATCAATTTAACTGGAATTATGCTTTTATTTAGAAATACGATATTGCAAGACTTTCTAAGACATGTGAATAATAATAACCATGTAAATACGCAAGGATCCCCAAGCTTATAATTTGGAAATGACATTATAAATTCGCATGTTTTCAATTTTCCCAATTGCAGACTACCAACACTTTCCATGCACTGACTAGTGAAATATATATTGGATTATTAGCATATGGACCTTGTCAACATTCATTTTAGACATTTCCTGGAGAAAATAGAACAAATTGATATTAAATATAAGGGATGAAATGACATCACTCATTGATGTGGAGACTAATTAGGTTATTAGATTAACTGATGTTGTATACATGACATCATGAAGCAATTTAAACAATCATAGTGTCTGCTATTTGAAAAGAAGCATATCAGGTGTTGCCATATATTCAACAGTCCATGTCTATGACTGCAAAAAAATTACTTGGAAACTTACAGACAAATATATTTTTAAAAATGTCAGAGGAAGTCACCCTGGTATCAACGCAATTCAATGAAATGAAAATCGTTGTTTCTTTTGTAAATCATTTTCACATATTGAATTGAATTACCTACCGTATATTCTCACATACACATCGATCGCACATATAAAGAGACTCCCTAAAACGGGTTTAAAACAGCGATTTTATAAAAACTCGCCTATAAGCCGACCCCACGAATCGTAACACGCCTACGCACCTATCACAGTCAAGGATATCAAAGTACTCGAATACTTTTTCGGCTGATTTTCGAATAATAGCCCTCATAACAGTGTTTCGTTGTCAAAAGAAATATTTTCAAACAAATTTTAGCGCTTTGATACGTATTGTAATCACGACAATAAATAAAATCGGCACTTTGATTGTTTATCTACTGTGTGACCCTGCGCCTCATATTGTTGCAATACATTTGCATGGTCGTGTGGTGGACATTGCCACCATTTCCTTGCAAGGCTTTTTATTTTACATTTATTCACATTACAGTGCAAAATTGAAAATTATATTGTTAAAAGTTGTACCTCTGCCCGGTAGAATGTAATAAGCCATTTCATGTATGGTCATGATTGAAAAGATATTATCGGTAATAACATTTAAAGTGAGGTTTTTGAAGTTTACATGAGGAGAAAACAATCGAGTTGTAGTATCTCTGACCCGTAGAATGTAAAAAGCTGTTTCATGTATGGTCATGACTGAAAAGATATTATCGGTAATAACATTTATTAAAATGAGGTTTCTCAAGTTTACACAAGGAGAAAACATAGAAAACCTACTATCTTTGTCCGGTAGAATGTAATAAGTCTCTTGATGTATGGTCATGACTGAAAAGTTATTACCGGTAGTGTAAATATTTCAATCATTACAGAAATAAGAGTCCTTATCAGCGCCACTAAAAAAGATAACATATCGTAAAGACGATTAAAAGTCGTTACGGCGATAGCGCTCCAAATAATGTATGACATATCTAAAATGATTAAAAGTCAGGCAGTCACGGCGAGAGTACAATCACAATTGTACAAGCGATCACATGTCATTTCGTTTTGTAGTGTGATCTGAGTTAACCGCATATAAGCTGACTCCTTAGTTTGGCAACTTATTTTCGTAGTTTTAAACTCGGCGTATATGTGAGAATATATGGCAAGCCATATTTCTAGAATTTCAGGCTATTTGAATATGAACATCCCTACTAAAACCCAAGTTAATCTGAATGAATAAATAAAGACTTGAACTAGACAACATTTGGTGACAGACTGACAGTGACACATGGGTATCCCTAAATGACACATAACTGAAAAATAACATTCGCACCCAAAGAACAAAAATAAAGTTTGTTTATACGAACTATCTGGGTATAGTTTATTCTAAAGGATTATGGTATGAAGGTAGACAGTAGACAATAATAAAAATTTTATTGGAAGACTAATATAACGAGTGAATACCTAAGTATATAATGACAGTGCGCCACTTGACATAACAACAGTACTTGAAAGTTAAGGGTATTCAGACTTGAAATACACACAATACAAAAACATCTCGTTCACATTCCAGCACATCGATTATTTCATCATGCTCTTCACCAGCAGACAGAACACAAATGCCAGGATATAATAAATTTAATTCAATGGCATATCAATATGGAACATAGTTATTGTAAATGTCAACACATAGTTTTATATACAGTGCGATAGAGAATCAAGTCAGTGTTATTAGTCAGTTACTATGTTATAGGCATCATGAACCTTAAATTCACATCCTTTGTATTCACGAACCCCATACTCAATTTAAAAATACCTTTGACTGCTATTCAAGTACATTACATTTACTGTACATCCAATTTCTGAATAATACAGCGTTTGAATTCTGCTTTATTCTTAATTTAAAAAGACTAACCTATATGATGGCTCCAATAAAATATCAGTGGGCTCTGATCTTTCACAAAGAACTGTTCCACAGTTTCGTGTCATAATAACCAAAAAGATTACCAAAATAAAAAAACGAAAATTTACAATGGGTCAATGGCCATAGAGTGTACTTAGCTGGATGGCCAGTGTCACCGCAGGTTACATGACAATACATACATGACTAATTTTCAGATGATTTCACAATGTTTTCTCCCCAAATGGATATTTCACAATGGTTTTTAATTATTTATACCATTATCCAAATTCCGAATTATTGTGAGTGCATCAACATAAGCAATACTAAAATTATTCTGCTTGCAGTGTTTCAATGATGATAACACAATTATAATTTTTTGATCAAAAATTAATTTGATATGGGGTAAAATACAATGAAGAATGCTGAAATATCCCCCCCTCCCTCTGCAGGAAATATATCCAGCACACCCAACATCCAATTCAATACACGGATTGTGTCGTGTGTCGCTCTGAAAAAAATATTCTACAAAAGACTCACCAGGGTTATGATCTAAAAAGTCTGGATTACACGTTACGTATCTTTGTGAAAAATATGATAAAATCCTTTCTCTTTCTTGCGTTTCACCAAGCAATGCAAATTGACTTAGAAAAATTCTGTAAAATATATAAATATCATGAAAATGGAATATATTTGACTATTTATAGTCTAAAATCTATAACAATTAGTATTTATACCTGTAAGCGTCAACCAAAGAAATATCGGTAAATTCAAAATGTTTCAAATATTCCTGTCCAACCTGGCGACTGTAATCTGTGCTGTGAGTAAACATGAAAACAGATTATAATAAAGCATATTTTCAAGAAGCAAGTTGAAATATATTTTTCAGTCAAGATTCTAAAATGTGTACGGTGGGCGGTGGTTAATAAAACGTTAGATTTAACTAGGATGACATCACAAGTTTCAAATCCCATGCCCACCACCTCACCCGGGACGTACTGAATGGGTAGGTGAACTGCAAAGATTCAGGTATATATTTACTGTATTTTGATGGCCTACAAGGCGAACTGTATTTTAAAGCGCACTGTCAATAAATTGCTTAGACCTAGTTTTTATTCATACGTAAGGCGTATCTGACTATAAATGCGCAAGTGTGCAACGGTTTTTTAAAGCAATACCGTACTGTTTTTTTAGCGTAGGCAATGAAGCATAAAGCACTACTTGATCCATACATTTAAGCGCAACGGCTTATGAGGTGAGGTAAAATGTGCTATGCCTATATGGCCCTCAATTGAAATACTGTAGATCCTTACCCATCAGTAGCTGTTTACAAAGAGCGAAAGGGCGGATGAATGCGTTGTATAAAAAAAAAGGTACTCCTGAAGTATGCGCACCAAGATGTTGCACAACCTGAAGCCTAACCTGGTACACAACCTGAGTTCAGGTTGTGCGCCATCTTGGTGCGCATACTTCAGGAGGTCCAAAAAACAACTTAACTATTTAAGTATAAATATAATCACAGAAAGATCATAGATAGACTGAATTGATTGTAAAATTAAGATTCTTTTGGTTCCCTAATTTAGGTCATCAACTTTCTTACACTATGCACAGTATAACTTTGTATGAAAGTGAAACACTTTTGAAAAATGAAACAATTTTTAAAAAGCAGCGGACTAAAAATAAAGCTACAGTGCAAGAGTTTATGGATTTTCCTTATAACAGTAGCATTGGCAAATTTTTAAATATTCAATAAAAGCTAGCACTACACTTCTAGTGTAGTGCTAGCATTTAGTGCCTGCACTTTAGTTTCTATCTTTATGATTATCACTTTGAAATAGTAATCAAATACATACTTTTTCCCAATCAATTTTGCAACTTCTGATCGTTTGAACCCGTTAAAGTTGAATAAATTTTTAGCGCAATCTTCCGGCGACCCATGTTTATTTGGTGAGTTTGTAGGCGATTTTTTCTCTCCAAGAAATACAGGATCATTATTTAGAAAATCAAATTTAGGAATTTCCTCTTCTGCATTCATACATCCATCTACAACGATACTTGGCAATGATTCCCTTGAATTTGGTTCCGTGGAAACATTTTTTGTTGAGTCATTGAGCTCTACCGATACTCCTGAATCAGCAGAAGATGCACTCGATAATGCAGGGTCACTTTGCTGGCCAGTGTCCTGAATTTTTTCAGATTCACCCCTTTTCAGGGTATGAAAACCACTGTCTCTTTTGTTCGAATTTTCCATATCTTCTGTGAAACAATTCGAGTCGGTAGCGCACTCACATAATGAGTAATTATTCGATAGCAAAGTTGTGTTATTATCGCTTGATGATGTCAAAACATTTCCACACATCTGACACACTTTGCCAAAAGATAATTTTATATCGCCTACAGAAATGCTTTCAATTCCATTATTAGATTGCAAAATATTTTCATTCAACATTGTTTCTTTTGATGATTTCAATGCGTCTTCAAAATTTTGATTAGGTACATATTGATTAAAAATAGTATTCTCCATTCTTGATCATCAGAACATAAATTTATTTATAGTAAAAGCTGAATTTCAAAATAAAAACTTTTTAGTTAAAAACATATGAACCTTACAATACAACTTCCCCCTAATGGTCATATTATTACTTATCGATTTTAATCGGTAAGTATGTTGATAGGTATTTGTCTGTTTGTTTGTCTGTTAGATGGCACGCGAGATTGAATTTGCCTCCAGATTTTGCATTTGGATTCATCATATGTCGTACCAAGAAGCCTATTGATTTTGGATGAATTATGTCGTATAATTAGCGAGTTATTAATTAATTAGTGATGGGACACAAGGTGTCACTATGGGGTAAGAGCGCTGTTTGAGGATCCCCTAACTTTCGATCGATAAGTCTTCGGTCTCTGACCGATATTCTCGTTACTGTCATAATTGATAATGATACTTTTTACACCTGTATTAAACACAGAAATCCATCTGGAATGGGTAGTTCTAGAATATTTTGGTGCTTTGATGACTTTATGAGACACACATCAATACCAAGTTGAAGTTTAAGTGATATAAAAATTGGAAAAGCATGCACAGATCAAAACCCTACCAGAATATTGCAATACCATACCAGCATATAGGTATCAGTAGTGAAATAAGTGCATAATAAAATGTAGGCTAACTGTTAGGGTTACCAAATACAAACATTCACAGATCAGTGTTTTATCACTAGTCTACTGTCAGAATTTACACCATCAATGTAATCTTATACCGGTAGTAGTATAAACTCACTCTAATTTGTCAATAATTAGATATTGCGGTACGCCTATTGAGCCTAACTTTAAAACAGCTACCGGCAGACCGGCACGGTACCATTCTAAGGACTGAATGCAGGAATGGTCATTGCTATCTAATTTCAAAGAAGACCTAGTTGAGTACCATTTCTGTTATTCTACAGTCAGACAGTATGCTATAATTTATAGACTATCAGTGCATGTTCACCTGTAACTTATCATCAAAAAATACAAGTAGGCCTATCTGCGTATCGGAAAGCAAATCTCTTATCACAGTATCAGCCAACTGTCTGACTGTTACAGTGTTAGGTTTCAAATTTGCATAGACACATATTTTATTTAACGTTAGCTGAAGAACTACTTTAACTCATTAATGAAATATATTACCCGGCAACTTAACAACTAGTGAAAGATTAACACATATACATCGACTGAAACTAGCAAATTCACAAATTGGTTTATTTACGTTGCTCCAGCAAACCGAACGGCATATCCAAGCAACCAGACCCTCCACCAACCGGTCGGAAAGGCAACTGATACGATACGAACCCCAGCCAAAACACTTCTAGACATTTTTTCTATTCTGATCGCTGTAGCGATAAATCATTGAGGCATAACAACATCGCCTAGCAACGATGGACGCTCTTCACAGCTGATTATTAGGCCTATCTCAGTTTTAATCTAATTCTACAACAGCGAGTTTCAACGAAAATACTGATAACGTAGACTAGTTTTCAAACGCCAATGTAATATTGCACCTCATTCACAGGGTCGAGTTACAGATCATTTAACGTAAATGGTAGGTTGGTATGAAATCAGTAGGTAATTAAGTAGACGGCACAACAATTAAATAACAGAACTGCAGAACAATGGATCTCCCATACCCAAGCCATGGATTGTACAGAACAGACAGTGGTTCATTTGATCCTGTTACTAAAAGATACATACTGCCACTTGGAGTAAATTCAACAGGGAGGCGAATGCTTTTTACAGGTAAATCACTCAGTCATCTTGATCAGTTTGATTGGGACTAAACTAACCACTAGAAAAACTTGATTGAAGTCTTTGACATAAGTTAGCAAAAAAATTTTGGTGAAATACGATTTAACATTACCATGTTCATTAATGTTGTATTGCAAAATCAAAAAAATTGTTGCTGCAATAGTTTGATATAGGCTATGTTGATTCCGAGATAAATGATGTTAATAAATGATTAAAATCATGCAAATTCATAATGTATTTCAATATTCATTTAATGGTGTATTATTATTTTTGTTTTGTTCTGTGTGCATACCGTTTTAAGAATATTGGCCTCATCATTTTCAGACCTGTTTACTTGTGATTAGTGTTATTGCTGATAATTGTTTTATGAGTGTCTTTGCACAGAAATTACCAGCATCGTTTTGAATTAAGTATGTATGTATCTTGAACCACCTTTTTACCAATGCCCAATCAGTGTAGTTTTTCATAGCTTTTGACTATCCTCGTCACTTTATCATATTGCATTCCACATATTATCTTTGTATGAGATTAAATTGGTCTTCATTAGCTTGAGTATTTTAAATGTACAACAGCCCGAAAGTGGAATACAATACATCGCATGTTTTTTGTGTTTTCTGGCCCAAGCCTCGTTTTACAAGATTTGTGTTTTTTTGTAAGAATTCTCTATTCGTAATTTGTGTGTATAATGGAGTTTTCATCTATTTAAATTTTTTAAATAACTTTGGTTTAACACAAGACAGAGGTTCTAAGTTTATCGTCAGAGTCAAAGCATCATAACTTTTTCCTCCTTCTCTGACACTATGATATGAATTCACTTTATATAGGTATAAGTTTATTTCCTCAGAAAAACGTAACTATCTGCATACAGAAGATTGGAAAAACTGGCAAAACCTCTTAAGTTCAAAGCACATAGAAATACATGTGTCAATTTATCCATATTACACACACAAATATATTGGCTATATAAAAAAAACTAATAAAAACACCAGGTTACCTATCTATCGGGTGTCTAACTTTCGCAATAAAAACTCACTGCAGTTGGTTTTTGTATAAAACTGTTTATGGCAAAGCGGTCATGGCTGGACTTGCGCTGTGGTGCGCAACACCGTTCATGGGAAATGACTTTTCAGTCCTTCTTCCTCAGTTCCTAGGGACACGAGATTATAAAATTGGGATGGGTAACCAGGAGGTATAACAATGTCAAAATTTTTTCATTGCCCATCATTGCAACATTCTTAAATTTGTTACATTACATCCATTGCAAATTCTACTAATTGAGTTGTTTAGCGCCCCTCATTACGTCTTATGATTTCAGCAATTTATTTGTATCACTATAGACCAGACATGGGCAAAATACTTCCAGCGAGCCAAATCCGGCCCGTTGGCTAATTCAATCTGGCCCGCCTGATGCTGCCACAACCAAACTGAAATCAAATTTTAATGTTTTATCTGAAAATAAGTCAAGGATTTGTTGAGATTTCGGTTAAATAAGTTTTGGCACGAGGCATATTGTTTTCCACCTTTGCTTTGTAACACTGTAAATATTGTTTATAAAATGTAACTTTTTATGTCACACTTACATGGCCCGCCAGTCCAGGTGGGCAAAATTTTTAGCCCCTGATTCAAAAACCTTGCCTACCCCTGCTATAGACTATAGAGCATGATTAGAAGCCTTGGATGTGTGCAATCTTTCACACCCCAACATGCACATACATGGTGTATCTATTCATCTTGTTGTTGTTTATCAATTTTGTTTAATCACTCTCTATTCTTTTTAAATAGAATGACTTACTTACTCTCATTGCAGGGCCAGATGGGATAAGAAATCAGTGGGTGTCTGTAGCTGCTGACCATAATCGATATGTTGGAATCGGGACAATGTCACCAGAAGGCACTAGTGACCTTGACTATTTGTACAGGTATTGTATGCGAGTATTCTGTTCACATTAATTTCTGCCTGGCAAATAGGAATATTGCTTTCAATAAATCAGTGAAATAAATTTATTGAATATATCACTCCAACAGTATATTTAACTTTATTCTACGTGATAAATGATTTGGATAACTTGGAAATAATATGGAAAATGATGTGCAAACGTTTAAACCATTTTCGAATGTCTTTCTCAACAGATTTATTAGAGGTTTGATAAACTGTTTTAGTTTTTGTATCTCATTTTTTCATATAAATTGTCACACAACCCTCGAAGCAATTTTCATTATCATCAAGATATATTTGAAAAATATTGCAGACCATCACCTAGAGATTCTCCAGCATTAAGACCTAAGCATAGAAGAGTGGGGGAGATTGGTTGGGGAATTCCTGGATATGCTGATAGATCGGTACTTCATACTGGTCAGCAGTTGAAGGTATTAATAATTTTACTTTTAATTTATCAAATAAATTATTACTCAACAAGGTAATTATTTGCATTTGGTAGTCCATGGTCATTTATATTTATTGAGTAGAAATGTGGCAATTTTTTGCATATCCCTCATGCAAATATCCCTTATATAAGCCATTAACAGAATTGAGATAAACTTTTCAGGCAGATTTGGCTTAGTCCTAATTTTCTTATTCATCTGTTGCAGAGAGGTGAATTCAGACAAAGTGCTGAAGATCGGCACACTCATCTTTATCAAAATCCTTGGACTCCGCATCCTGATCTAATGAGAGATCGTCCAGGTACAGCACCGACAAGGTATGTTTGCATTGTTCTCTCAGGCTGTTTATCTTTTTATTAAACATCTAAGTCATTTATTGATGCTTTTTATGGTTGACTACTATAACCTTGATCACTATCACCACCTAATTTTTGTTTAATATTTTGAAAATTGCAAGCCTGAAAAATTCTGACGCTTCCATTCCCTTTAAAATGGGGCAAAGGTATTGTTCAATAATATCAAAATTGATTTAACTCACAATTGTTAGTCTACCCAATGTGGCAATAATTTAAAAAGATGAAACACCATTTCTCTGAACAGTTTGTCACAAGGTGATAACTGTTATCACCCGGAAATGTGATCTAGTCAATAAGCATTCATATATGTTAATATATGTTGCTACTATATTTTAAAATTGTATGTATAATAATTCTACAGTGCCATACCTTTAGATCAGCTCATCCCAATCTTTCAACCAATGGCTATATGGAACATGTGACAAGAATTATAAATCAGCAGTCTTCCATTTTTATACACACCAAATCTCAGAAGCATTTTCTCTCTTGCTTTTGAGGGAGGGTTTCTCCTAAGCAGAGGTGACTTAGAGAAAATTGTGCAACAAATACTAGTTGTCTAAGACTCTAAGTCATATTAATAGCCAGAAACTAGGCTTACTACTTGTACTGTTAGGATATAAATCCTAACTACCGGTAATTTTTTGTTGAAGTGTATAAAAATGGAAGACTGCTAATTTATAATTCTTGTCATCTGTTTCATATATCCATTGGTTGAAAGATTGGGCTGAGCTGATCTAAGTCTTAAATCAATCTGAGTTGTACAGACTAGTACTAAGACGCCCCTAATGTCTATTTACATAATGGGTGTATCTCAAAGAAATTGAAAGGTTTCATTCGATATTATGTAATAAGAGAATGTAGTGTGATGATTTTTCGTTCTCATTTTCACTAGGTATCGTGGAAATTACGCGGATAATTCTCCTTACAACGCGAGGCCTTATTCCACAATGGAACCACATCGACCACCATACAAGGATGCTCCAGAACAATCATATGAAAGTAGCTCACACTCCAGTTTAGGCAAATATTCACATTGAATCCTTATTACAATAGATTTTGTTTTGTGAAAACATTTTAACAACTTGCATAAGCCTCACGAAACAATTTCTTCACCTACTGCAGTATTAAGCTTTCTAGTTGACAACCAAATTTTGAATGATCTTTATTTGAATTTGTAGTGCAATTTGTCTTGCGTTGATTTCATTTAACAACTGAGCATATTCTTTTATTTCTATGTTGGATTCAATTCCACTGCCTGTCAATATGTTTTGACAGTAATTTTTGCACTTGCATATCGACTGCCTGTATTGTAGCATAGAAAAATTTCTTGCACACTCGTTAAACATTCACATGCTTATTTATAAAAAAAAATCATTCTTGAGAAATTTGTGAGTCCTCTTGATTTAGTAGCAGAAAAATAGGTGCTCCAGAAATATGTGTACCAACCAATATGGAGGTAACTAATTTTGTTCGTCTATTTTACATCAAGATGGGTAAAGGGTATGAAACCTATGGGCAGGGGGTATATTCGCTTGACTAACACAGTCCCCAAACTCGTAAGTGAACTAAAATAAGGAAAATAGGAATAGCATTATGCCCTAACCATACTACAGAAGTACCGGAAAATATACAGTAATGGTATACCCTCCCTTATTATAGACCAAGAGTCTGTAAATCTGTCTGTCAAAATGGCCACTCAATTCATGTAATACATATGTATTTTATTTTACTACAGTCTATTTATAATAGTATATAAGAGCTACAAAAAAGGCAACAGTAAAAATATACATAAAGCAGGAAAATGAACTCAAACTAAGTACTGTGAACATACCAGAATATGAAACCATAATGATTTTTTCGCCAACTAGTGAAAAGGTATCCAATTCATTTTATAATTATAGTTAGGGATGTCTGAAATCGAATATATTTTTGATTTGAGTCGAACCAAATATCGAATATTATTGCGCAATCCTAAACCTGTCTCAATTTTACAATAAAAACACCCCCCTTCAATATCCTGATAACATATGTGCAATAACATACAAAATACTGCTGAAATTTTGCATAACTATGTTTCCAAAGATATATTAATAGGAGAGCCTTACCCATAAACTGGCCTCATAAAGATTCGAATAATTTGTGATTCAATTTCGAATATTCGGTTTGCTTGGACAACTTTCAATATCAACACACATGTATACAGCTGCAGATGAATACATATATCACAGTATATGAGATAATACCATGAAATGAGGAACTACTGCATTGTGAGATGAATTTGCATACCATAATTTATGCACCAACAAACGTTTGTTAACTTGGAATTGGAAACTTGCACTATAAGGTTATTATTATGGTTGCATGGTTGATTGATACAAGAAACCAGCAGCTATAGGATTTCCATATACCAGGAATGTAATACCTACAATATTTTAAATATAATACTAGCCATATGGATGAAAATAAATACCCTACTACATATGGAATTGATACATTGATCGGACCTCCTGAAGTATGCGCACCAAGATGGCACACAATCTGAACTCAGGTTGTATACCAGGTTCAGGTTATGCGACATCTTGGTGCGCATACTTCAGAAGTACCCATTGATCTGCTTGTCTGACCACTTAAAATCCCCAATTTTAAGCAAAGATAATGCAAGCTATCAAATACAGTAAACAGATTACTACATTATGCAGAAACACATTGGCTTCTATTCACAAAAGAATTTTATATAGCATAGTCTAATGCAGAGTGGTCCAAGATTGGCAGCTATGCGGGCCACAAAATAACTTTTGCATTGTTCGCGGGCCACAATAGTGTCAAGAACTTCGCTCGTTTAACTTCGCTAGTTGCCTCAGCAAGCCATAACACTAGTCAATTCAGTGAAATTAGGGATGCAACAATATGTCAGATTTTTTGGTTAATTTTATGACGAAACAACACGAAATGCGATTTTTTAATTTCTCTCCGAATGTTACGTGGGCCACATGTGGCCCGCAGCCCTGGGTTTGGACCACCCTGGTCTAGTGTTTAAAACTGAAAGTAACATTATACAGATATATAATAAATAGCACGTTTTCATAGATGATTAGAGGAGAGGCAAAGCATTGGAATAAAAACTTTGTGAAGAAACAAAGACCTTCGCCAAGTATAACTCATTATGGCTTTATAAATTTAAATTGACTGTAATGCATTTACTCTTTCCCTTTCATGTGTTGGCTTTTTTATTATTAAGCATGTAATAACTAATGGAAATGCATTGAAAATGAATCTAGGTATCTAGGAGCAGGATAACACAAATGTTTGAGTCTTTGTAAGGAGCCACAGATAATGGAAGTTTGATAACCACTGAATTACATATTAAAATTAGTTTTGTTTCTGAAAGTAATATTTTAAATGCCCTATTCTTGTGATACAACACGGCCAAAAACAAGGCAAAAATAACAAGTACAGTGCGGTACATGACATGAAGAAATATGGTAAAATAACTGTAAATAAAGACAATAAATAACAAGGTATAGCCATACTGCCTATAACCAAACCACTGGGCAAAAATTAAGCCTTTGTACCGGTATGACATTCACAATTGAGAAGCTGAGCTTAGAAATAAAAGTTGATTTAGGATTTCAAAGAAATACATGAAATGGCACATATTAATAAACAAATTAACATGTTATTAGCTTATCTAAAAGTTATACAAAGTTACTAGAGAACTATAGACTTGCTAAGCAAGAAGTCAAACAACTTTTAAACAATCTAATTATAATATCTGTACCATCTCATATTTTTCCATAATAGTGTTAACACTATAAAATGCACAGATAATCAAAAGGATAAATGAATAAAGCATCAAAGACCATACTGGCTTCAAAGTATAGTATTTGACAATGAATAAAATTTATTGACGCCCGTAGTATATAATAAATAGTAAGGCAACAAACAAAGAAGCGTATCTGGAACTGCATTGAGGTTCATTGAGCCACACACTTTTGCCAGGAGAGCAATTGAGAAATTATATGTCTAAGATGTGTAAATGTAGGCGCTTCAATCAAAAAACGTACGTTTTCCCATCAGGTTTGTTTTCAAGTCGTTCATAGTTTGACTTATAACCACCACGGTGACGCATTCCAGTCCTCCGTTGACTGCCAGGCAATACCAACGCAATGACCTGAAAGTAACAATGGTACTTTATTATATGTATCTCAAATAGTTGATAAACTCTGAAGCAAATTTATTATATATCTACATAACGATCCATTTTAAGAATGCAGATTATTGAAACTGTCAAATTTTTCTGAAAAATCTATTTTGGGCCGTAAAATCATGATTTAAACCAAATCTTATGAAGTTAAATTTAGCATATATAACAAATTTACTGAAAATGAATCTGTTTGCAATTTCCTAAATCATAGAAATTTAGTAAACCCTATTTAGACGAAAACATTCATTCAAAATCTAGACAAAGGCATCCAGATAAACTATTTGCAATGTTATATCCCAGTTAAACTGGTATCTCAATTCCAACAGTCTGCTTGGACATGATATCGAGAAAAGCTGCTGAAGATCACATGCATCAATGATAAAAAATAGAATTTATCATAGTGGAATCGTTTCGTAGGTGACAAAAATATAAATGCAAACAAAGAAAAATTTACAACAAAATGACTCACCTTTCTTTTATTATGATATAATAAATATAATGCTGCTGTGCAGAACATTGCAGTTAACATAAACGCAAAGAAATGACTTTCTCCTTGTTCTTCCATATCCTGTACAACGACGAAAACAAAGAAAAATGAATCACAGAAATCATGCTTCAAGAGATGGAGACTCGAAGAAAAATTGATACCAAGGTTCACACAAAAACTTTAGTTGTCTTTCAAATATTTATACAAAAATGATTAATTCATTTGCCACCTGAATATTCCATTTCGGCTAAAATAAAATTACATACATCATATGGCTTAATGTGATATGTTCATAGCGAACTCAAGTTTCAAGATGTAAGTTAAACCAAATACCAAAAAAAAACTAAAGTCATGCTACTATAGTACATTAGTAGGCCTACTATGTATATTCTAAGGAAGGGTAATGTAAATGCAGATTTAAATATTGTGCAACTACAGTAATAATAGTTAAGATTTAACAGGACAACATATACAGGAAACAACTACAAAATCATGACTCACCGGGATATCAGGAAGTTTATTACTTTGTTCTTCTAAAAAAATACAAAAAACAAGACTTGTAAAATCGAACATTGTATTATACATGAATACTAATGTTTAAAGAAAAAAATTCATAGGCTTACCTTCATCTTCATAAATATTAGTTTCTGGAATAAAAAAAAATATATAAAACAACCAGTTGGCAAACTGCGATTAGCAGTACGTATTATATTACCTAACAAATTGAATCTAAAGCTTATTAATACTCAATAGATAGAATATTATTCGAAATAATCAGCTTATTTATGATTATAACATGCTGATTAAACTACATAACAAAATAATTGAATATATTTATGGTACTTGTACCATGGTGTAATAAATTGGGTTGGCAATGCCGAACCGAAAAGATTATGCTCCTTCCAAAAACAGTAGATTCTCATAGTTTGGTAGATATCTGTGAATGCTTGTTAGGAGCAAAAGGGGTGAACAAGTGTCATAAAATATTTATACAAATATACCAGGTACTTCCTATTTTTTTTCTTGTAATAAAAAAACATCTGAAAGTGTATTTGCTATTCCGATTTCTACAGTGTTAATAAATATTTTAGTATTTGTTTATAGCTGATGGTATTTCATGGTTATCTTTAGGTAGTTATCTTCACCCAAATCATCCCATGGATGACATTCAAGGAAATTACAGACAGAATTTGGATGCGAAACTATGAACAAAATTAATGTAAGATTACAAATCTCGTAATCAAATGTAAACATAAATTATCGGTGATAATTTTCATTTTATTCAACGATAAAATAGCATTTAATACACCTTGAGGAGGACCAACAAACTATATGATATCAATAAATTTCCTTTGTAATTTATGAGCTTTTAACACTTATAAATACATGTAAAAAGTACTTCTAATACAGTGAAATAATTTAACTACAGCAGATAAATTACCATGGTTATTTGATTCTTCATATGTTTCCCCGTTTTCTTCCTGAAAATAAAACATATTGAAAGTAAAAATACATCAGCAATACATTCAAAATATTCTAACAGCCTAATATTCCACAACAAATCATTCTTTTTAATAGAAAATGTTTGGTTTAGTCTGGGTTACAGTAATACTAAAGTAATATCCTATGTTGGTAAAGTATAAATTAAGTATTGTCCACTATATCCAATATCCTTTTTGTAATCACTCTTTGATGGATTCATACACAATTACTAAAATTAAAAACAATCAATCTGTTTGAATGCACAAGGTTATTTTCAAAGAACTTACGCCTTTTTCATGATGTAAATCCTGTAGCAGTATTTACAATAATTCTGTCAGTAATATTTACAAATGTCCAAAAAACATTCAATATGTAGCCTTCACTGGTCACTTAAATTTTTCCTCAGTAATATCCAACTTTTTAATTAACACTTGTTCCTGTATCAACTAACATACCAAAATGTATAAAAAGATCAAACAGATGATATTTAAGAAAATACCTGAAGATCATCTTCATCATCTATTTCCATTTCGATATCCCCTTTATCCAAATCAACATCATATTCATCTTCGTCGTAACCAGGTTCAGGTTCATCGTAATCGTCATCTGCTTTATTAGCGGCAGTGTCACTATCTAAATCTATATCCTCATTTTCTCCGACTTCAATGTCCGAATCAGTTTGGTCATCAGGTGAAGTACTATCATTAGAAACTGGTTCATTTTCTTCAGATGGAATTGCCTCACTTTTTTCAGATGTATCTTTGTCATTCCCAGGAATAGTTTTTTGGTTAGTTGGATCTGAAATAGTATCTACATCAATAGGGGTGTCAACATCACCCGCTTTAATTTCATCTAGCACAGTTTCGCTGGAGCTTGTTTCACTTTCATTGAACGTTGCTACGTCCGGGTCAGAATCAGTTTTATCCTTGGTCGAATCTGAATCGCTAATGTCATCTCCTTCAGTAGATGTCGAAATCCCTTCACCTGCTTTACTTTGATCTAGCTCAGTTTCGCTTGAGCTTGTTTCACTTTCATTGGATGTTTCTGCATCAGGGTCAGAAGCAGTTTCTTTAGCAGTCAAATTTGTATTGCGAAATACATCCGCTTCAGTAGTTGCCATAGCTCCCACATCACCCGTAATTGCTTTACTTTGATCAGTTTCGCTGGAGCTTGTTTCACTTCCATTGGGTGTTTCTGCATCAAGTTCAGAAATGGTTTCAACCTTGGTAGAATTTGTATTGGAAGTGTCATCTATGCCAACAGATGTCTTGGCCCCATTATCACTAATAACTGCTTTACTTTGATCTGGCGGGGATTCACTGGAGCTGGTTTCAGTTTTATCGAACGCTTCTTTAGCAGGTTGTTTGTCATTATCATCAGGCTCCGCATCCTCCTTTTCTGAGTTTTCAGATGGTTTCAAGTCTTCATCACTATCATCATTGCTTGGAAGAGGCTCCTTCGAAGTGCTTGCAGTTATAGAATTTGAAATTTCATTGTTGTTTACACCCGCTTGAGTATTTAAGTTTTGTTCAGTATTTAGAGTTGGATTTGAGCTGTCTTCTGCTGCTGCTGTAGAAACTGCCAGAGTATCTGACAATGTTTCAGATTCTTTGGAAGAATTTTGGACTGTCACTTCTTGACTAACAGAAGCTTGATCATCAGGGACAATTGGGACATTAGTAGCACTATCGGTATCATTCTCAGCAAACTTTTCATCTGATAGCCTTGTCTCCGCAGAAATTTCATCATCAGGCGTGCCAGTTTGTATCGGTGTTGGTTTCGCATTACTTGCAGCAATGAACAAGGAAAGAAATGATAGAAAAATAACAAAATCTATATTGAACTGCATCATGACTCTATTTCAATTTTCGCCTGATTGTATCTAGAAGACCTGTCAATAAAATTTTTCAAGTTCATTTTTATACTTCTTACTAGAAGAAATTAGCATACACTTTTAAGCAAAACACGAGTGGGGACTTGAGATGAGACTACAGATGAGAGAGAATATGATGAAAAAACCCTCTTTTAACTATAATAATCTAATTCAGCGTTTTTCAAACTATTCCGTGAAACACTCCGAAGAAATGCTGTTCGGCGGGCCAGGAATCGAAATTGCTCGTCATGGCGATCTCACTTATACTTTGCCGCCTGCACTAGGATAAATTTACCTCCAAACTGGCAACAAACAGGCCTTGCTATCAAAATAAGCGGACAGGTCTCGTACCACTCTGGAAAGCATGGGCATGGCATTTTCGTCAACTGTTCAATATCCTTAACTTTTTATATTTACCATTGGCTGATTGGCCTAGACTACCTCTAATTTCTTGGTATTCCACAGGCGAGATACAAATCGTAGGTGTTCCAGAACAAAAAAAGTTTGAAAAACTCTAATCCAATTCATTCGTTAATTAGGGGTCTTAAAGTTCGTTGAGGTAATTGTAGGTAATCGTTAGTTATGCTAATCTAAACCATTACTCTTTTTTTGATGAGGTTGTACTATTTGCTACAATTAAAATGTTGCAATATCCTATTTCATCATGCCTTCAAAAAATAACTATGAACTAAAATCATGATATTCTACAAGAGAATCATAGGAATGAAAAAATTATATAGATTTGATTTAAATTTGCATATTGCTTAGATGGATATAGCTAGCATATAGGTACAGTCCAAATCTTTTATCAACAGAACAATGGAAAGAGGGTACATTTACTGCTAGCATGAACTACCGTGATCACCACTGCACCCCAAGTCTTGTGCAAGTCAAGTGCTTTCGAGAACAAATAGGCCTAACTAATCCCATACCCAATATGGACTGGTACCGAAACCGGACAAGAGGCCGGGGATAAATATGTAAATCCCATCCACCACTGTGACTGAACACCACTGTGAAGCGGAGCCGCCACTTTTTTATAGATAAAAACATCACCTTTTTTTAAAACAGTGAAATTTGCAGGTAGCCGTCTGTTTCAGCTATAATAATTGTACGCACACCGCTTTTTTTATTAACCACTGGATAATATTTAGAGCATCGAAATAAAATCTAGATCTTACACCTAAGTTAGACTCCAAATTTTACATCTAGATCGTGAACAAAACATACAGCTATATCAATCAGTATATCTCTATATGGCACATCTTCTTTACTTTTTTTTTGCCAAATTCATATCCGTTGCCAAATCGGATTTATAAAAATTATAGTTTTGGTTTATCCAAATATATATTTCAATATTATTGCATGAGGCCCAAATTTTATTTTATTCTTGTAATGTAATTTAGGTGATTTCATACAATGAATAAGTATACAATGAAAAGATAAGACAAATATTAAATAATTCATACTAGATACGGGTTTCATGTACTTTCTTACCTGAATAACTTCTAGTGGGCGTGGCGTAACAAGTTTTGGATATATGATATCCTGACCCCCACCTGATGACATCATCAAGGAAATTACGTCACTGCGCCGTCACAATAACGAACTACAGCTTACCAAAGTATAGCAACGAACTCCCGTAATGGCGCCTGCGAGTATGTTTACAACTCAATACGTCAGCGACCTCTCTCGTATCGGTATCGATGCGCAGAGCTCAAAATAAACAAGAATCACAAGCGACTAAATTGTCGCCATGGAACGTTCACGATATCCCATTCTGACCAATTTTTTGTCCAGCAATAGCTCATGTATCGTGTTACAATCTGATAGGGCGTTATACGACACCACTTTGAGCAAAGCTTTAGACAAGAAGAAAGGACATATTAATATACGCGATGGTTGACGTTGGGTACCACACACATAAACCCTTGTTATTTTATGTCCAGCAATAGCTCATGTATTGTGCTACGATCTATTAATAGGGTGTTATACGATACCGCTCTAAGCAAGGCTATAGACAAACAGAAAGAACATATTAACTCACGCAATGATTGAGGTGGTTTCATTACATTTGAACCCACGTACATTTGAACCCATGACAATTGCACCTGTATGCTATTGCACCTATGGATTTTTTTTTGTTTCACGGATAGTTAAACCCATACTAACCCTAACCCATGGGTTTTAGCACCCGCATATAGATTGAACCCGTGGATATACGCATGGGTTCAAATGTACATGGGTTCAAATGTCTGGTCACCGATTGAGGTTGGGTACGGCAAACATAAAGACTTGTTATTTAATATCCGATGATTGATCATGTATTGTGCCACATTTTATTAATAAGACGTGGAATTTTTTTTTTCACTCTATGCAAGGCTTCATACAAGCAGAAACAAACATATAATTTGCTTTAACGAGATGGGTGTAGTTTCATACAGGTACCGGTACCTCAGTACAGCAGTACGGTACCTAACTTCTAGCTTCTTAGCGTAACAATTTTTGCATATATCATTTCTGACTCTCACCTGACTTCGTCATCCAAAACTTACCGGTACGTCAATGCGACTTCACAATAACGAAGTAGAGCTTGCCTAATAATAGCCATGGTTACCGGTACTAGTAATGCAGTAATGCTGTAATGGCACCTATGGATCTAGTTTCCTACCTCAATAACTTATACCGGTACCGGTACTTATTTTAGCGTAACAATTTTTAGACCCTTATCATCAGTTATAATATATAATATAAATAATCAATATATCCATCATTCAGTCATTAGCATTTTTTTTTAAAACGAAATTTTTGAAGAATTAGATAAATAATCAGGGCAAATCTGCAAAACAAAATCTGCTATGAAGCTACCAGAAATTTCACATGACTGTATATAATTTTACACATTATATATAGTTTCCACGCGCGTAATATTAACATAGTGTTACAGGTAAACTTAAATATAATCGTACTGCGGAATGACATAAAGAAGCTTTAACTTGAAGAATACAATAAATTAAACTCTGAAATAGGGATTAAATACGGCCAACCAAACAATGACATTCTTCGGGTATCGGTATTCCGCAAAATACGAAATTGTGAAGATTAGTATTAGTTTAAACTTAATAAAAACATTATATAAAACCCTCACGTGGAAATCATATGCAATGTGTCGTCTGCTAGCTTCAAAGAGCTTTTTTATTACGGCGCAAATAACTAAATCGTTCACAGCTAAATCGTTTAACACCTGAAGAATATACGCTATGTTTAGTATTATATATGACCATGTCAAAACTTGCTGCTACTGTTCTGCAACACATTAAGCGAATCTACGAAGTTTTTTTTCTCTGATTGTATCGCAATGCTGCCTTTATTAGAAGTTTTCGAGAAACCGCTCCTCCAAGAGAGGGAGAGAGAGATTTTAATATTTCGCCAACCAAAAAATACGGTCATCAATAATATAGCAACAGCAAATAAAATTGTTTTGGTATGGACAGGAGGAAGCGATACGACCGTACGGTCATCGAGGTCAGCTCCCACCATATACGCTGATGTGATCAAGATCAAAGAGACTATAACACTTTTATAGTCACTTTGATCAAGATTAACACTGAAAGATGACTAGTGACAAGACTTGAACTATTAGATAACATTTTTACAATGAATTTTTTAACAGAATTAGGAATTTTTTGGTAAATACAATGTTATGCATGTGTGTTTTTGAAGTAAAAAAAGAGGGGGGAGGGGTGTCCGGTGTCGTTAAATACAACAATCTGAAGCGGTCAGAATATTGAGTTGATAATTTTTATTTGACTGAAAATTACTAAATTCATATTCAATGGGGTTTGGGCGATTATAATTAGTACATTATTCGAAGTAAGCGAAAAAATTAATAAAAAAAATTGGCTATATATACACAGTGGATCAAGGCGAAGATTATAATGTGATAAGAATGTGTCTGAATGTGAAAAATAATAACATGCAACTCAGTGATACGTAGTAGTATATATTTACGGTGATACACATTATTGAAAAAAGTAACACACCAAGAATTTTATTCATAGGTTAGTCATGATCTGTTTTCAATAAATCTAATAAAATGTTTAGAAGATTTTATGGACTTAATGTATATGTTTGGCAGTTTTACAAATAGCATCCCAAAAATGTTAGTACTTATAATAAGTATACTTATTAAAAAGTTTTAACACATGGATATTGAAAATGTTTCTGACTTAAACAAGAGAGCAGATAGGTTTTGAAAAACTTTTCTGACTAAAACTCCCGCAGTATGTGTACCAGGTTAGGCTAGGCCCAAATTTTATTTCGATTTTTTCTTATTTTACCTCCTTTACGAGTTTGGGACTGGCCTGTCAACCAAGCGAATATGTCCCCAGCCTTTATACTACCTGATATGAAGAATGCGAACAAAATCAGTTCACCCCTTATTGATACACATACATAGGGACCTCACATTAATTAATTAACAATACATAGCAATATCCTAAACTACATAAATATAGAAGAAAACACCATTCAAATGATCGACAATAGAAATGACTCCCCTGGCTACGCCAATGCTAGAAAGATATGTCACAAACAACGAGATTTTCATGCTTGTATGGAATTTTTGCAGCATATTTGATTCAGAAAATAATGGCCATTTGTGAGAAAGAGGAGAAAGTACCCGATAACCCGATTTAACTGATGCCAGTTGGTCTGGTTTCATATACTCGACAAAAACATGGGCAGCAATGATAGGTTATGCGGGAGTGTTGGTGTTTGTAGCATTGGAAGCGCTTGAGATGTTAGAAATACCGTAGCAAGTTGTAGTCCGACATTTGATGTTTTAAATATATAGGGCATTACAGACTGTGTGATTTATCCAGATCCAGTGTAGGCGGTGTGGCTCATCGTGCCAAGCGTAAGGAATACGTTCGCCATCTCACCTCTGATTACTCTGCTCTGGGTTCGCATCACATGCGGAGTTAGTTATGGGCGATAGAATGGCTGGACTTCTCGCC